ATAATAATAATAATAATAATAATAATAATAATAATAATAATAATAATTAATAATAATACTTAATTACAAAGAAGAGAGTTCATTACACTGAATTTTTTAAAATATATTTATAACATATCTACATTCAAGAAACTAATTTATTTTTTTGGCCACAAACTCTGGAGGTATATATTTTTTTTATTATTTTTCAAGATTCCTTAAGTTGTAAAGATTTTCTCAACCAATACTTTATCAATAGTACAAGTGGTCATTACATTCATGGTTTGCCTGCCTGTGTGTGCATACAATGGAGTGTTGTAGGCATGGGTATTTGTGGGAGAGGGTTCTTGTATGTCTATCTGTCTGTTTGTGTCTCTAACTATCCTGAATTTGAATGTTTGTATAAAACAGCTTTGTCATTCTTCCAAACGGTGATTATTAGCATAAATGAATCTGTTTGAACTTCTCATCAATACTTTTAAGATCAGATAAGTCCTTTCATTGTATTTTTTCTATTAGTTTTGGCGAGACATAGCATATGTGTTCATTATTCACTTCATCTCATCTGGGGTTAAAACCATTGTATTCTCAGACATCTCTTTTTTCATTAAATTGTCTACCACTTTCAATAAACACATCTTGTCTTGTTGCAAAGAAAATTCCTATTCCGAACATAACCCCCAGGATCACTTACTAGTACCTCCAAGATTGAACCCCTTACATTTGCTGCACTGCAGCACATGTGCTTGCCTTTGCTGCTCATGAAACACTTAATTTGTGGACACAAACTTTCTTAACTTCATTTGAATGCAAAGTCATGTCTCCCTTATGTAGGGTTACCATACATCCTGAAGAAGCAGGATATGTCCTGAATGTGTCTCGCTGATCTGCCAGATTATTTTTTCTGCCCTACGTCGTGACTTTCAACTTTTATTGCTACTGCAGTAGTGAAAAGGTTGTAAATTGATTTAGGAAATGCTGCGATAAAAAACGATGAATTTTCATCAGGAAAACTCTTATTACAAGGCCCTAGAAAAGAAAAAGGGGATAAATCCAGAGGCTAAATTTAGAAAAAGAAACTCCTCTTAAACACATGGTGTAGTAAGAATCAATGTTTCATGGGTCCTTGAAGCCGAAAAATCAATTGACGGCAAAATGTCTGTCTGTCAGTCTGTTTAGCACTAGCGGCTAAACTGTTCAGCCGATTGCTGTTCTCCAAAATGTATATTCTCCTTCGATCTGGCCAACGTCGCGGACCCGTGAATTTGAAACCCACTGTACGTGAAGACCCTGGGACATTTAAAAAAATGGCTCCATAGTTTTTTATTCAATTGTATTGTTGAATAGTATGAAAGAAATTTAAAAAAATGGCACAGGTCCCATTTTCGTTGAAAACTGATTTATTGAAAATTGTAAAAACTTTTCAGCGTCTTCCTATCACTCAAGCATTAGAGATAGAGATTTTTTCACTTAATGAAATGTGTTTCTTAATAATAGATTTTGAAATAAGGCCAGATACATGTTTTCAAAAATTTGAGTATTTTTTGTGTAATTTTACGTGAAATATAGGCAGTTTTCAAATATTGTTTTTCAAAAATGATTCAATTGTTTTTGAGTAAATATTGTTGGATAGTCTGAATGATGTTTAAAAGAATGGTGCAGGTCTCATGTTGATTGAAAACCCTGATTTTTCGAAAATTGAAAAAATTTCTCAGTGTCTTCCTTCAACTACAATTGTGAAGATAAAAAATTTATTCATAATAAAATATGTTCATGAAAAACCATTAGTAATGAATTTTACAAAAAAGAAGAAAAAAAAGTGACTGAAAATGACTGAGACGTATTAATTCAGAGACAAATAGTGGTGCAAATAGCAACTTAAAATTATATAATTATTACTAAAGGCGGGAAAGAAAGTGCTGATTTAACATCACTAGTTATACTCTGCTATAATGCCACATAGTCCTGCAAAAAAACTGTGTTTTGGGACTACTTGTGAATTACATCACAGAACTATGCACTGCATAAGAAAACACAAACGGCTAATTCCTTTGTTAAACAAAGTATGTATTGTTATGTATTGTATTGTAATTTTTGTCTTTTCATGGTGCAATCTCAGTGCTGAAAAATACATAAAGAAAGGTACTCTGTTTTGAATCGAAGTGCATCTGTCTCTCTTACAATATGAAACGCTCAGTGGATTACAGTATTTTAATATCGACCAAAGTCAAGCTTTATTTAATATTGTATTTATATAGCCTGAAATACTTCATAAATTTTGTCATAGAATAATAAGGAAAAGTCAAGAAAATTCGTTCTAAATTCTAAATTCATTCTAAGAGTGGTCCCCCTGTTATTTTTGGAAGTGTGTAATGTAACTTATCTTGATCTTCTATTTAGTTGTTTACATGATATACTATGCCCTTATTACATGATTTACTTTACATCCTATTTTCTTGTTTAAAATTAACAATTTGCTCTGAAATATATTTCAGATGTCTTAAATTTCATTATTATTCTTATGGCAACCCTACCCTTATCTGTATATTAAAGTGTCTCAATGAATATCATTCAGTACTACATTTAAAAGTATTTCAAGGTTTCATTAATTTCCTAAAGTTAACTGCATATTACACATAATTTGAATTTACGTATTTTCTAACAAACAAACTAAACTAAGGATAAAATATATTTAATACAAATGAAAAAACCTGTGGTAATCTTGGAGGTTCACCTTTGTAGAGTTTGTTACTTATAAATTGATTCTCTTTATCGCGTTATATTAAATTGTACCCATAAATATTTTTTATCCATTCCAAGAGCAAGTAAAGAACTAAAAATTCCAAGTGGCATGTAAATTTTGTTTATACCACAACATTGTTGCATTCTGTTCTGAAAAAAAAAGAGGAAATATTAAATACTAATGACAGAAAATATAAAATTCAAATGTTGAATTCAAGTTTAAAACAGTCAACCAGTGTTTTCAAGGAATAAGGTAATCTTTGTCAGAAGATCATTCTACAAATGCTTTTGTTGCTAAACTGTTTGTTCTAGAGAAAAATACTTCACTACAACATCCACTCTATGTATGTATATATGTATGTATGTACTTGTTGTGACAGCCCGTGAATGGGATCAGGCCTACTGGTGACGTCCCTGCCATGGTTTAAGGGGGTTTGTGTGGTTAGAACATAGACATCCCCAGACCGTATTCCGGTCTTCTCAACTTGAGAAGTGAATTTTCTCATTTTCACACAGCAACATATACTGGGACATTGCAAGGAAAACGCACACTATAGTCTTGGCTCAATTAGGAATCGAACCCGGGGCTGCGAAGTGGAAAGTGAGCACACTGACCAAGAGCTAGCCACAAGCCATACAACATCCACTGGTTTTGAGAAATTATTTTCAGCTTTCAAATCAATTTCAACTAATGGGGCTATAGTGGCACAGACTCATACTAGTTAGTTTTCTAATTTCTTTGGTCTGGGCTAACTTTCTGGTCTTGCTCTATACAAGAATGTTTTTCAAAATTGCAAAGCATCAAGTCAAGCCAGGTCAAGCAGGGAATATGAGTTTTGGAAAAAAACTCTAAGAATGATTTAGATGCTAGTGATGTTCACAGAGTTAAAAAAAAAAAAAAGAACTTTTTCGGTACCAGAGGACCCCAGAACATGTTTTCAATTGAAATAGATTTTCTGCAGCACTTCATAACTTTCTCCATACTACACATATTACTCCCTATATAAGTACTTATACAAGAAATGTGAATAATAGGTGAAAGGAAGGTATGTAGAAATGTGGTAAAAATAGGTAAATATGAACAAAGACATTTATACATCAAGAATTATCTGGGTTTAAAAATCTATATCCTCCTGATATGTAATAAATATTTGTTTTGTCAAGTTGTTTCATTGTCATACGTAATGTATTTTTAAGTGTTGAAATTTGTTTGCCTGGTTGTGTTAAAATGGTTACAATTGAGAAATGTTTTTAACATACATAGAATAGGATTTTTTGGAAAGTTCTTTAATTGTTATGTATTTAAAGTGACTACTTGTTTAATTCGAAACATTTACATTTTTTCTTGACTGTTTATTTGTCATTGTCATTTTGAAACCACTCATTGTAATGGTAATTGAAAAATATTGTGGCTATGAGAACATTAGTCTTTCTTTTTCTTTATTACGTTTTCTTTTCTTTTCTATACAAAAGAGGAAACCTTTCTTGAGGAAATTACTACTTAATTTGTTTGGTATAGAAACTTTTGAAATGATAATTTTAAGATTGCTTTATTTCTCAATAATATTCATTTACTTCTTATATTAACTAAAGTCACCATTTTCAATGAAATAATGAGACAAAAACTTTATTTTATTTCAGTGTTACATTGATAAAAAAAACAACTTTCTGTTTCCCAAAAATTCTGATACTTTATATAATTTTAATTTTATTTTTCCTTTTGTCTCTTAAATTCTTCTCTTTCAAAAGTCCCTCATTTTCTCTCAACTAGCTATTTTAAACCTCTTTTCTTTTTACCTACAGGAAACCTCTCTAAAAATATTTTTGGAATTCTATTTTCTTTCATTCTTTTAACATGTCCCAACCATTGTAATTGTTTATATTGAATAGTTTCTAAAATTTATGGACTTTATTCATTTTATCTCTTGTTTTTAAATTTCTTATTTTGTCTAATTTTGATATCCTGAATGATCTTAAGAAATCTTTTTCTGTGCCAGTAAATTTAGTTTTATATTTTTCTATAAATTGTCAAATTTCTGATCCACATAAAAACAGTACTTTCTACAATAGATTTATATTCGTAATTTAGTTTGTTTTGTTGTATGTTTATCCCATAATAGATAATTCTTGATTATTTCTTTATTTCTACTCCCAAATATTTTAATTCTGACGACATTTAATTTTTCCTCTTTCGTACTCTAAAATTGGAATCTGGATACTTTACTCCTCACCCCATATCAAAATGTCTTTTCCCCTGTTAATTTTTAGTCAATTTTTAGGGCATTTCTTGTATTGTCCTAATAATTTGTAAAGTAAGTAGCAGATAGACAGATAATAATATAATAATAATAATAATAATAATAGTAATAATAATAATAGTAGTAATAATAATAATAATAATAATATTAATAATATTAATAATAATAGTAATAGTAATAGTAATAGTAATAATAATAGTAATAATAATAGTAATAGTAATAATAATAATAGTAATAGTAATAATAATAGTAATAGTAATAATAATAATAGTAATAGTAATAATAGTAATAATAATAATAGTAATAAGAATTGTAATAATGTACATTTGACATCATATCTTCTGAATTATCATGTATTTCATTGTGAAAACTATTTTTCCTGATTTGTCATTTATATGAACTCATTCTTAAACCATTTCTCATTAGTATTAAGTATTGTATTTGATCTTTTAGTCTATGATCTTAATATGCATTGCTGAGGGAAGCTGCTATAATATGAAAATTAATGTTGCAGATCGGAGGTTTTGAACTTCCGTTTTACACTTTAGGTGTGCTCATGGTTCTCATAGTGCCTATCAACTTCTGCCTCTTGCCTGCTGGGGATGGTATGTGGCTTGGCTCTTTTTCTCTTACCTGCTTTTGGAGACAATGCATTTGAGCTCCATTGTCCTTGCTTTAAGCTGCTTTGAATTTTCTGTTGTGATAAATTTATTGAACATTACAGATTTTGCTTTATTGCTTAATGAGTTCAGACTCTTCAAAACTTTTCATGTGTTTCATTTTTTATGTTAATCAATTTGTTAATTTAATAAATTTTGTCTTATATTCTTTTTTATATTGGGTTACGAATATTCTCTGTATTAGTTATAATTTAAAGTATTAGAAAGTTCTTGAAAAAACTACTTCGAAATGTTTTTAAGATAATTGTTGTATATTTATTCTTGTGGTTTTTCATAGCTTCCAGTTTGAACAAAAGTTCTGGTTCCTTATCACAACTTTTAAGATTACCTTCAGTTATTATCATTAGTATGGTGATTGTTGTGGCTTCAAATACTTGGGGATTTCTTGACCCTACTCTTGAACCACATCTTAGAGAGGTAAGCCACAATGTGACAAACTGTTGTGTTTGGAGATTTAGTGTAGTAATAATTAAATATACCATGAATTTACATAAAAATGATGTTTTACATAAATTTGTAAATACCCAAAAACAATTTTTTTGAAAATTACCTTTCTGATATCATACCATTTTTGTCAATTTCAACCCAGTAGAATTTGTTGCATGGAGATAATTATTCTGATAGTGTAGGTTCAAAGACATTCAATAATCTTATTCTGATCTTCTAATGAGTAATAATGTGGTTTCCTTCTTTAAAGCTTCTGGTTCTAAAAGAAAAAAAAATATATATTTTTTTTTACAGTTTCATTTGACTCCCGAGAAAGTGGGTTTGATCTTCCTGCTGTTTTCTGCCCTCTATGGTATATTCAGTCCTCTATGGGGCTGGCTAGCAGATAGAGTAAACAATCACTGGGCCATGTTAACTGTTGGCCTTTTCATATGTTCAATAGGGCTGCTGCTTCTAGGACCATCTCCACTTTTGCCATTTCTTCACAAGTAAGTACAAATATCTCCTCAAACTAATGTTTCTGTATTAATTTTTTTAACTTTTGTTAATGTTCAGAAACTTTATTTCAGTACTCTCTGGTTGAATCTCGTTGCACTTTCAATCTTGGGTGTGGCTGTGGCACTCACACTTTTGCCAACATTTCAAGGTGTTCTGGACAGTGCTCTGTATGTATTAATTTGTTGTGCTTTATTCTCTACGTTTATTTGCCTTATTTGTTTAATGAATAAATAAATTTTGTTTCTAGTGACGGTGGATGCAGCGATGAAATAGGAACATACAGTATGGTTGCGGGTGTATGGTCCTGTATGTATTCTTTGGGGTAAGGTCATATTTACTTACCATCTACAGAGCTGGGTGTCGTGGGCTCTGTAAGTTAATAAGGAAAGTTCAATACATGACTTCTTTATTTCTTGACGATCATGCGTAAAAAACAGTGATTTTAAAAGCAATTATTTTTTCACTAGTTTTGTTCTGATAATCATGCTGTAATGGTTTCATTTAATATATTCATTTGTTTCTAAAGCTGGGTTACAAATTTTAATTTTCAATATACCAATAATAACAAAAAGAAATATGTGAAAAGCATTTGAAAGCTGTATATTTCAGTTACCTGAAGTGGTTATTAATATCCATTAGAACGGCTCAAAGACGATATGTGACAAACATAGGGGCATTACATTGCCGTCAACAGCATCTATGTGTTACATGCAAACATGCTAAGGAACAGACTCAAATTTCATGGGCAAAAAAGCAGTGTGGATTCTGAAAGGGTTGCAGCACTAAATACGCCATCTTTACATTACAGATGATTAAGATGTTAATAGGCAAAAGAAAGGAAAGGAATTACCAATTTTTGTATTATTTATTGATTATGAAAAGGAGGATTATGACATTATTAGACAGAAACTCTGGGAAATACTAGAAGAGTAGAAAGTTCCAAAAGTTGTTCAATGCAATACAAAGTGTATACAAGAACTCGAGAATTAAAATACTGTAAAGAAAGGAAAGAAAGTCAGCAGCAATAACAATCAACAGTGGCTTAAGACAAGGATGTGGATTATCACCCATCCTCTTCAACATACAGTCCCTGGCCATATTATTAGACGCACCCTACTTTTTCAATAAAAATCATGTTTTTTTGAGGAAAAATGTATTTTTTTATTTCTAACAAAATACATAAGTAATCATTTAATACTTACTGTTCATAGCTGCTCTTCTAGACCATCTCCACTTTTGTCCATTTCTTCACAAGTAAGTACAAATATCTCTCAAACTAATGTTTCTTATTAATTTTTTAACTTTTGTTAATGTTCAGAAACTTTATTTCAGTACTCTCTGTTGAATCTCGTTGCACTTTCAATCTTGGTGTGGCTGTAGCACTCACACTTTGCCAACATTCAAGGTGTTCTGGACAGTGCTCTGTATGTATTATATTGTTGTGCTTTATTCTCTAGTTTATTTGCCTTATTTGTTTTATAATAAAATAAATTTTGTTTCTAGTGACGGTGGATGCAGCGATGAAATAGAACATACAGTATGGTTGCAGGTGTATGGTCCTGTAGTTATTCTTGGGGTAAGGTCATATTTACTTACCATCTACAGAAGCTGGTGTCGTGGGCTCTGTAAGTTAATAAGGAAAGTTCAATACATGACTTCTTTATTTCTTGACGATCATGCGTAAAAAACAGTGATTTTAAAAAGCAATTATTTTTTCACTAGTTTTTTCTGATATCATGCTGTAATGGTTTCATTTAATATATTCATTGTTTTCTAAAGCTGGGTTACAAATTTTAATTTTCAATACCAATAATAACAAAAAGAAATATGTGAAAAGCATTTGAAAGCTGTATATTTCAGTTACCTAAGTGGTTATTAATATCCATTAGAACGGCTCAAAGACGATATGTGACAAACATAGGGGCATTACATTGCCGTAACACGCAATCTATGTTACATGCAAACATGCTAAGGAACAGACTCAAATTTCATGGGCAAAAAAGCAGTGTGGATCTGAAAGGGTAGCAGCACAATATCCCATCTTTACATTACAGATGATTAAGATGTTAATAGGCAAAAGAAAGGAAGGATTACCAATTTTGTATTATTTATTGATTATGAAAAGGAGGATTATGACATTATTAGACAGAAACTCTGGGAAATACTAGAAGAGTAGAAAGTTCCAAAAGTTGTTCAATGCAATACAAAGTGTATACAAGAACTCGAGAATTAAAATACTGTAAAGAAAGGAAAGAAATGTCAGCAGCAATAACAATCAACAGTGGCTTAAGACAAGGATGTGGATTATCACCCATCTCTTTCAACATACAGTCCCTGGCCATATTATTAGACGCACCCTATTTTTCATAAAAATCAGTTTTTTGAGGAAAAATGTATTTTTTTATTTCTAACAAAATACATAAGTAATCATTTAATACTTACGATACAAACAAGATATCATAAGCAAAATTAGACATGTCAGTATAATATATAAACTAATTTCATAAAAAATTCCATGCACATGTATATCTTAATACCGTGTCAGCCACCTTTGGTCTCATTAGAGCTTTTCTTGTTTGCATGCTATTAATGCATGCCTGGACTGTTTCTTGCAACTTTGGATGATGGTACCAGACTTGAATAATTTCTCCAAGGAGCTTGGTGTGTGTGTTGTGTGTGTGTTGTTTTTTTTTTTTTTTTTTTTTGATTTCCCTCTTCATTAGCTCCCAAACATTTCTATTGGTTACATATCTGGTGAATTTCCTGGCCATGGTAACACAGGAACAGACGCCCCGCCACTCCTGATAACTGACCAAAATCATTGCTTGACTGGATGTTCCACGTCTGGA